TTTCTCAAAATGAGTGCGTGCAATGAGTGTACTTATAGTTTTCCCGTTTTATTATTATATATATAGATTAACAAATAATGAAAATACAAAAAATGTTTTCAATGTATTTATTATTTAAGTTTCTTGTTTCTTAAGTTTCATTTTTTTGTATTTTTCCCATTGTCTGTATGTATTCGGATTATATCTGTATCCATATCATATTTTAATTGCGAGTCTTATATGATTCTGAGTAATGTTACTACTGAAATATCATGCATGGTCTTATAGAGAAAGATACCGATAGAACAATTTTTTTATATCTTATTGGACAAGTCCCATAGGAATCGTATAGAATATTTAGGTTGCGACTATAATTAAACTCAATTGAAACTCTATATAGGGTTTTCTATTTAATTTATTTTAATGAAATACAATTTCATTTAGTAACTTAATGTATGACTGAATCATGCGTGTTTTGCCGTGTCAGACAGCTTGCGACGTATACTAGACGAACTCAAAGGTGTTTTTAAACTCGGAATTCATGCAACCATTGATATATTCTGCGAGAATGATGGCGGCCATGTATGTTTAAAAGGGTTGTATATTAGCCATTGTTTTACATAAAGAGAACAGGACGTATCCCATGATGATATACACAAATAGAATTGAACAATAATAGCCAGAAAGCATACTGAGTATAAACACGCTAATAACGTGTGTTTAAGCCATAAATGATTAAATGTATTCCTGACTTCAAGTATCACCCGTGTATTAATAATGAGTAGAATAGGAGGTCCACATGAAGCGATGGGTCATATGAAATTATACACTATATATTGAACAAAATCCAAAAATATTGATATTGTCTGGCCCTAGATTCGTCTCAGATAATTCTGCGAATAGAACAGATAATTGTTATTTGGTGGAATTTTACCGACAAACACAGAACACACAAATTCGAAAAAAAATAGGTAATAACATTGTTATTTCAAGTACTAAAACAACAAGATAGGTATACAAAAAGAAAATTTTGGTTTGCAATAATGAAGATTGAATGAAGGGTCTGAAGCTGTGACATATACCAATTTTGATTTCAGTAATATGTTATACTTTTATGACATTTTGTAAACCTAAATGCAGATATTACAATGTTTGAATAACATATCTAGATCAACATAATTAACGACCACTTCGTCATGGCGTTTCAAAAGTTCCAGGCTCTAGATTGTGACGTTGATGGCGAATTTGTTGGAAAATATGACTATGACCTTTATATAATCGGTATAGGTTGGGACATATTTAGTGTCATCGCTATGACCTTCATATCATCTGTATAGATTGGGACATATTTAATGTCATCACTATGACCTTTATATCATCTGTAAAGATTGAGACATATTTGAATTGAATTGAATTGAATTTCACCGCAAACTAACAATTACAAAATCTGTATTACATTACTGCGTTACTAATAAAAAGAAGGAATTTGTGGTGGGGATCACAATGTCATCATTAGGGTTTGTATATAAACTGTATTTACTGTGATCTTTATATTATCTGTATGGATTGGGACATATTCTACAGGTCTACAGCTCCTTTTTCATGTCTCGTGTCCGCCTCGTGCTTAAGTGTGTACAACGGTTCAGTGACTAACTCTTATTTTTAAAAATATTAGAATATAGAACAAGACATATATGGTCTGTGCATTTTACCAGAGTATTTATGTACCAAGTTTAATTGGAATGTCATTGTATTTTATTATAAATTGTTATGCTAATTGGCTAGTGCACCATGTACTAAGTGTCATTGAAATCCGACAAGCGATTTTTGAGGTATACGTAGAACAACTATGCAAAGACACAGTAACTGCAAAAAACATTGACATAATACACACTGACTTCCTATATTTTAATATCAGTCTCACTGATAAGTGTACAAAGGTATAGACAATAATGTCATGAAATTATTTAGTTACACACGAACCTACTTTTTGCGGGAACATTGCAATCCATATATGGGAATAGTACGTGTATAATTTCTCTTAGCCTATTACGTACTTA